AAATTACTTTATGTGTCACAAACATCCCAAACTGAACATGAGCTCGTCTAATGTTCTACCTGCCAGGTGCTCTGCTGCAGAGTACATAAGGGCCTGATGGACTGTTTAGATCTAATGTTTAAAAGCTATAAAAGAACAATGAATGAATGCAAAACAGGAAATGTGTGATGTTTGACAGAAGGAAGGGAGAAGTTTGAGTTCATGAATGAGGTGGATGAACAGAACAGGAATAGAAGAGGATAAAACCATGGAGGCCAACAGTGGGAGTAAAGTTCACTCTGCTGGAGAGTGATGGAAACGAAGTGGGAACGGATTAAACAAATAAAGAGGGGAAATAAAAGGTCAGAGCAGATTAGGATGAAAGGGGACGAGAGGGCAGAGAGAATGGGATTAAAGAAGAGAGGAGTGAAATTAATAACATGGAGGGCAGAGGAGAGGCTGAAGTACACGGCAGAGAGGAGGATTAAAGCAAAAGTAACGGAGAGTGTGAAAGCAGGAGGAAGTGAAGGAGAGCTGAAGAAAGAGGGATTAGAGATTAAATAAAGGCAGGAATTCCAGGATTGTGGCAGATATAAAGGAAAGGGAGGTTCAGTGAATGAATACGACCAGTGAGGAGGAAGAAAAGAGGACGAGAAGGAGGCAAGGAGACCAGAGGAGGAGATCATGGAGAGGGCGAAGAGAAGACGAGAACGAAGCGTCCAAGAACTTTAAAAGGTTAAAAAAGAACAACTGAAGAAAGAAATAAAGTGTTAGGAGCTGTCACATCCCATCCTGTTGAATAGAACAGAATGATTTCACCAGCGTAGAAGAATCATCTTCTATCTGTATAAACAAAGGTTTTTAAAGGGGACGTGATTCACTTTTCTTTTCACAGTCGACCCGTAAAATCATTTTCTGTGATTTTACTCAATATGATCTGAAATTTAACAGACGTAGGAAAATCTGTAAAATAACTTCTCTAATCACTAGTATACGTCATTTATGTTTTGAATAACAGTAAATACCTGTAAAAATGATCATATTTGGCCATCAAAAAAAGCATAAGTAAAGTAATTAAACACTGTAAAAGAACACATGAGTATTTATAAAACCACAGATTTTTGATGTTTTTACCATTTTGACCTGGATTGTTTATTTTTTATGGCTACCATGTAAATGACTACTTCTTATTTTTGATTTTAACTCCATATTATCTGTAGTTTAACAAAACAGGGAAAATTTGTAAAATAACAGTCAGTTGTACAAAAGATTACCGTTAAAAGCTGTTCATAAATGTTCATTTTTTACAGTGCTGGGATGCACAAATACTAATGTAATATATAATAATAATATGAATGTACAAACAACGGCACTTATATGTTCTGTGTGATATTTATAATGTGCAAAAAT